GCCTGAAATTACTGTTGTGTGAACTAAAATTCTTTCTTTGCAAAGTCTAAATGTGAAACTGAGCTCAGAATATCACTCACTCAGGAAGCGAAGCCAGAGAAGAGCTTTGCACTTTAGCATGCTGTCCATTTTGCATGAAGACAAGTGCAAATCTAAGTCTAATTCCCTACTGCAGGAAGCAGTGGATTGCTGGGATGGCCTGAGAAATAATATTGTGCTCCACTCACTTCCTTACATTCGGGAACACTTTGAAAAACCATTGCCAATAAACACTGTTCATCACTGCATCCACAAATGCCAGTTAAGACTGCACTATGCACAGTGGAAGTCATATGTCAATGATGTCCAGAAACACCGCCGACTTCTTTGGGCTTTGCTCATCTGAAATGGACTGATGCACACTGGAAGCATGTATTGTGGTCTGACGAGTCTAGCTTTCAGAATGTTTATGAAATTAAGGGACATTGTGTTCTCTGGGCCAAAGAAAAAAAGAACCATCCTGATCGTTTCCAGCTTAAAGTTCAAAATCCAGCATCTGTCATTGGATATTAGAAGATAACTTGCCCATAAATTAAGCCTCAGTTTGCATGTCACAACAACATGTGGGGTGCTAGACCGACCTGCTTGCAGACCAGAACAGTCTCTCATTAAAAATATGTCTTATTAAACTCAAAATACGACAACAAACTTGGTCCAGTCGCACGGCTAAAGACTTGCATGACATGCCAATGACAAAAAAAATTCCACTTTCAAAACTGGATCAGTTTGTTTCCAAACAATTATTTAGTGTTTTTAAAAAAGAAACGTAATGTAACACCGTGGTAAACATGCTCCTGTCCCAATTTTTCTGCAATGTGTTGCAGGCATAAAGTTTGGAATGAGCATATATTCTTAAAAAACTAGATAAAGTCCAAAAGGTAAAACATTGAATACTGTGTTTTTGTACTGTTTTCAATTTAACGCAGGTCAAACAAAATGAACTAATCACTGCTTTCTGTTTTTTATTAGCATTTCACACACTGTCCCACCTTTTTTGCAATTGGGGTTGTAGTTCAACAGCCAAGATGTTTGAAGTTTGCGTTTGAAAATGTAGTTTTAGCACTGGAGCTACAAGGCTAAAGTAGCCAACAAGATAAACCATGTTGAGTTTTTAAGCAATATCTAATAGACTTGCTAATATCTCTGACACAAAAATGTACAAGGCATCACTTTAACTTGGCCGTCGTCCATCAAGGGGTCGGCTCAGTTTAACTTTATTTATAGGGAAGCATATTAAACAAACCTTACAAGTCCCATCTCTAAGTATGACTAAGCTTGGCCTGAAATTACTGTTGTGTGAACTAAAATTCTTTCTTTGCAAATCTAAATGTGAAACTGAGCTCAGAATATCACTCACTCAGGAAGCGAAACCAGAGAAGAGCTTTGCACTTTAGCATGCTGTCCATTTTGCATGAAGACAAGTGCAAATCTAAGTCTAATTCCCTACTGCAGGAAGCAGTGGATTGCTGGGATGGCCTGAGAAATAATATTGTGCTCCACCCACTTCCTTACATTCAGGAACACTTTGAAAAACCATAGCCAATAAACACTGTTCATCACTGCATCCACAAATGCCAGTTAAGACTGCACTATGCACAGTGGAAGTCATATGTCAATGATGTCCAGAAACACCGCCGACTTCTTTGGGCTTTGCTCATCTGAAATGGACTGATGCACACTGGAAGCATGTATTGTGGTCTGACGAGTCTAGCTTTCAGAATGTTTATGAAATTAAGGGACATTGTGTTCTCTGGGCCAAAGAAAAAAAGAACCATCCTGATCGTTTCCAGCTTAAAGTTCAAAATCCAGCATCTGTCATTGGATATTAGAAGGTAACTTGCCAAAGAACTAAGCCTCAGTTTGCATGTCACAACAATATGTGGGGTGCTAGACCTGCTTGCACACCTTTTTGGTGTGCACACCTTTTTTTGAATTGGGGTTGTTTTTCAACAGCCAAGATGTTTGAAGTTTGCTTTTGAAAATTTAGTTTTAGCACTAAAGCTACGAGGCTAAAGTACAGCTGGGCGATAAAACGATAACAATAATTATCGCAATATAACTTTCCTCGATAGAGCTATAAGAATTGTTCGATAAATGTTCAATATAATACACCATTCTGACACTTCCATGTTCTAGCGACGGCCGTGGTGTTTTCTACTGCAAGGGAAGCGACACTACTCTGTTGTCGCCACAAGTTGGTGCACTTCTGAATTTTTCGACATGATTGGGGGGGGCAACGAGTAAAACGAGTCAAGTATACTTTAGCAACGTCTGAGACGTGGAGTTATGTATTCCCTGTTTGAGTGGAGCAACCGGCGATCTGTTCTCCTGTGACCAAGTGCGAGTGACCAGATAAGTGGCGTAACTGTACTGTCCTACAGTGAACTCACCTCTTTCCTTTGTTCCTAACAAGCTTTAGCAGCATTAAATCACATCTGCTCCACACAACTACAGTGCAGTCACAGCGCTCTAACAATCATATTTTAGTATGAGTGCATTACCAAGCAACGAAAGTGAAGGAAAGAAGTGGGTTCATGTTCGTTACAGCCCTGATTTAAACAAAAGTAAACTGAGGATCATGTGTGTGGGGGCATTGGAGAGTGGGAAAATGCTAGCTTCCCAGGTTTGCTGTTTTTAGCAGCTGGCTAACTTGAAGCAGCGCTCCGTCACTCGCACAGCACAATAAACTGATGTTACTGTAGATCAAACAAGATAAAAAAAGCACAGATTTCAGTTTAAACTTAGCTAAAAGAAGGACTCTGTCTGATGTGAGAGAATCACACTGCAGTTAATGCTTTTACACAGCGAGCGTGAGATATGTTGCAGTTCACCTCTCAAACTGCTGCGATAGAATAGAGAAACCCAGCCATCTGCTAGCTGGTGTTTGAATACTGTGATATGCTCTGACATGGATGTGGTAGGTGTGATGGCAGTAAGGCGGTGTGATCCATCACCTGCCGAGCCAGCTAATATTTGCTGTTCGTATTAAGCTGATGTTGTTGAGAAACCAAAGTTTAGCACTTGTAACCAGATAGCCTAGCACTCGTCACCAGACAGGTAAAATAATCTTTCTAAATATAAAGTTTTCTTTCTTAAATTATAAATATTATAAAAATTGCAGCTGTGCTTTTCCAGCTGGTAAAAACAGCTAACCAGAAACTTTGTCCCACTCTCCCATGACAGATTTGTGAAATGTTCCACTGTTTGGTGAGTGTTTATCATGTTCTGACCATAAAGGATAGTTTAAAACAGCAACTGACCACTCAGGAGCAAAAATCAGCCTTCAAACTTGCAAGAAATAATGATTTGACATTTAGTGCGATATGTATCGATATCGAACGATATGAAATTTTTTATCGTGATAAGAACAAAAATATCTAATAGACTTGCTAATGTCTCTGACACAAAAATGTACATTGCATCACTTTAACTTGGCCGTCGTCCATCACGGAGTCAGCTCAGTTTGTTTAACTTTATTTATGGGGAAGCATATTAAACAAACCTTATAAGTCCCATCTCTAAGTATGACTAAGCTTGGCCTGAAATTACTGTTGGGTGAACTAAAATTCTTTCTTTGCAAGTCTAAATGTGAAACTGAGCTCAGAATATCACTCACTCAGGAAGCGAAGCCAGAGAAGAGCTTTGCACTTTAGCATGCAGACCATTTCACATGAAGACAAGTGCAAATCTAAGTCTAATTCCCTACTGCAGGAAGCAGTGGATTGCTGGGATGGCCTGAGAAATGATATTCTGCTCCATCCAGTTCCTTACATTAAATCTGTGATTTAACAGAAATGAAATGTGATGTGATAAATGTACGACTCCATTTACTCTAGTCAAGCTGTTTTTGTTGTTTTTTTGGAGGTATTTTTTAAATTGTAGTATTTATTTAAGTAAGTTTTCCTGAAAAGTTTCTTAAATTACATCCATAGCTGAGAAACTATGGTGATAATTCTTAAAAAGTACCTGTTATGCCTGTTTTCAATGGTCTAGAATAGATTTACATGCTTCAGTGTTCCAAAAGCACATTATTTGTCTCTTTTGCTATTCACCCTCTGTCTGAAACGCTCTGTTAGAGCTCCTGTGTCTTTACGCCCCGCCACTCGAAGAGCCAGTGTGCTCTGATTGGTCAGCTCGCCCACTCTGTTCTGATTGGTTGACCTCCAGATAAGTTCTGCCCCTTGACGTTCTGCCCCTGTCTTGTGGTCTGTAGACAGACACTTCTCTCCTGAACAGCTGTAAACTCCGCTGTTTCTCCAACGATGTCGGTTCTGCCATATCAGTTTGATCCAGAGTCGATCCTGAAAGTCCGGTCAGCATTTTCTCCACACAGCTACAGCACTGAACACACTCGTCCTCCTCTAGTAGCTGCTGTGCGCTGTGTTAGGGTGTGCCGATAGGCAGGCAGCAAGCACTGTGTTACAAGATGATGTCATCTTGTAACAAAGGAAAAAGGCCAGAATTTCAACGAGGCGTTTCAGGCAGCTGAGAAAAGTGGTTTCTGTGGGAGAGAGTTTCTCCACGTGGAGGGAACTTTGAGATTTGTTACTTTGTAGAATGTTTACATGCACAAAAAGCTACAACACACTAAAGGAAAGGGAAAACCAGAATAGGTCCCCTTTAACTCATGTCCTGTTGCATAATCACTTGGCATCCCTACATTACATAAGCCAGCACAATTGGTCTCGTTCTCTCTGATGAGCATCATATTGGGTGAAGGGGGGAGGGCATCCTACCCACCCAGAGAGAACGAGAGGCGTCTGTTAGCTGATGTAACAGATCTGCTGATTGGCACCTTCCTCCGAGCACATTCAGCTGTCCAACAACGTTGCATTAGCGGCAGTTTGAAAAGATGTGATGGTGCTTCACAGGTCTCAGAGGAAGCCTGTGCTAGCCTTCAGGAAATTAGTAAATTCAAGTACGTTTAAAAATTTTTATTTAATAATTAAACTTCCTTATAGTTACAGTTAAGGTGTAAGTTTGCAAAAACACATGACAGAAGCAAATACATCAATGAAAGAAGCATCCATGAGGTAATGTGTTTTTTGATTGACCTGATGTGACTTTATGCTGCCCACTGAACAAATTCAACTTCATACAACAACAAAATTATCCATGCAGCTGTACGGTTACTTCTCAGGTTACAGCAGGGACATTATGCTAGTTACAATCCGTGTCCAGACTGTGCTGGTCAAGCTGGCCGGGCTGCTGGGCTGGCTGGGCTGGCCGGCTGCTCCTCGCGTCTTTTCCTGTGTAGAGCTTTCTGCAGTGCCCGAGTGATGATGTCTCTGTTGTTGAGGACGTTGTAGGAGGTGAGGTCAATCAGTCTCTGGAAGTCTTGCGGAGCGTAGGTCAGGTTCTTGGTGACGTATGGAGAGGCATGAGTGCTAACATCAACGTCTCCTTCCTTCAGCTCCTTCTCTCCCTGTCTCCTCACACCTGTTAACACACAGACAGGTTTAGTAACTTCACTGCAATCTTCTCATCTGGAATAAAAAATGCAGAAAAGTATGTGACGTAGCTAAAAACCCTGGACTTCATCTGTACTTTAATCCTTGTGGATAGATAACAGTGTTTCTTACAGTGTTGGAAACCACATAATCAAGCCCATTAGAGATTATCGAACAACAACACATGGTTTGAGATGATTTGGGGGGTTAACACTGGATGCTAACTGAGGTTCTTTTTTTCTATTGTTTTTAGTGGGTAAGGCATGTTTTGCTTGCTGTTTTTGGCCCCAAAGAATCCCAACAGGCATCGATTCCTCATTTCCAAGCTTTTCGGGAATCAGGAATCGACTCCAAGCTTTGGACTCGACACCACACAGTGATGTTCAGTTTCAAGTAAGAAATTCTGCTGTCACTGTCTGAAAAATATGTCTGTCAATAGTCCAGCTGTATTTAACTTTAGGCAAAGTGGAAAACAAAGTCAAATATAATTATGGAGCATTAGCAACTGCTGCTAGTGACATTTAACCCTTGCTAACCAGGCCGAGGTTAGTTCTGTCAAAAGTGATTCCCTGTCATTTTGAATGGAGGTGATTCTTGACGGACTAGTCTTACGATCCTGGGGGTGTGTGGTGTTTCGTTTGTGCTCTCTCTTTCTCGTTCATCACTTTTTCCCACAGCGTTAATGTCTGGAAAACTCTGATTAGGTACAGCAGGGGGTGCTCCAGCTACTTATGGGGCAGAGATGCACTGCAGAATGAGAGGGCTGTTCCAGTGGTCGCACCTGTGCCATCAGCCCCCACCTGACCAGAACAACCACCTGAAGATTTGTTTGTTAATGTGTTAGGCTAAACTTCTCTCTGTGTAAGTGAGGCGGAGAGTGCCCCATTTTAGGGGCCAGGTACGTTTTTCTACAAGATGGTGCCTTTAACTTGCACAAGTTAAAAGAAAAAAATGCTGATAATTGGTCCATTTGTAGTTTGTAGTGTCTTGGTCTGACAGTTGGTTGGCGTTGGTAACGTTATCCCTTTTATGTACGGCCTTAATTTACCCCTGGACGTATGAGGTCGTAACACCTTGTGGCTACACAAGTACCAACATTAGTGACATTGTGACCGGTTTTGAGCTCACAGGACTGTGGGAGGATCTAACGGGTGCATTTTTAATTTAGTTTTCCTTTTCATATTTGTAAATTTCCATAAAAAAACATTGCTAGCATTGAAACGTCTACCCACCTGAAGGATTTGAAATAGAACAGTCAGGTAGAGTTTAGCCCCTGTTAGTCAGCTAAGTTCATTTAGCTAGCATTAGCGCTCCAAAATTTCTTTGTTAAGGTAAAATAAAGCGAATACTGTACTCCTTATTTTGTCTCTTCCATGTTGGTTCCGGGTTTCGAGATTATTGTGTGGAATCAACTCCATCAGTTCTTGTCCCTTAAAATCGGACTGAAAGTCGACCCCAAACATTTCTGGAAGCATTTCGGTTTAGCTTAAATGCTAGCAGCACCACGTTTGCAGGTTAATAGCAGTTAATTTTACGCTTTAGTTATGATCCTGTTGCTACAAGAAAAAAAAGTACACCTTGCTTTTTTTTCCACTTTGAGAAATTCAGCATGAATCTCCACTTAGACTTGCAGTTAGCACCATGCTAATGATATAAGCTTCCATTACTTTTTAGCCACAGTAGCCTTGTAGCTCCAGTGCAAAACTAAAGACACCAAACGTGTTGGCTGCATTTGGTGTAAGTGTGAAAGACTGAAATTTGATTACTTTAAATATTAACTACATACATGCCAATACCAAAATCTGATATGGCAATATATGGATTTTAAGTATATCACATGTTAGCATATCGCTGGTATTGGAAGAAAACGTATCTCCATTTTTGTCATTTCAGTTTTTGACATAATTTGAAAATGGCTGTTGCCATTTACATTATGTATAAGTTTCATGATGAATGGACCAAAAGAAACAGCCCAGAATGACTTGGAAAAAAGTTCCATTGACTTACATTAAAAATAAGTTTTTCCTTCTCCTGTAAAGTTTCTATTTTGGAGATACAAAGTTTTCTTCCGACAACAGTGATATAAAGATTTCCCTTATATTCAACTTATACTAGTGACACATGGACATATGTGACATACATCAACATATACAACATACATGTACAGTATGTGATAGAAGACATTGATCATATATAGATGGTATATTACTCATATATTAGCTTCATGTTATGTAGGGTTTTGATGCATCTCTGTTTTTTCTACATGCTTCCTAATGAAGTGAAAATTAATATAACAGCTACGTAACAACTCCAAAACATGCATGTTATAAACTATGCAATAAATTCATTTAAAAATGAAATTAATGAAAATTTTGTTTTCTGACAAATAATTTAATATTTTAAAACAAACTGTACGGGATGTTTTTTACCATATATCAGACATATAGATCCATATATGTGCGAATATTTCCAATACTTGATACTTGCATATGTACACAACATGTATGTACATATATCTTAAAATATATATCTGACCCTTTATGACATGCTGTATATATGGCCATCTATCAGATTTCCATATGTGTGTACACAGATGTTTAGAAGCTAAGAAGCCCAAGGTGAATAGCCCTGACTTACTTATGGCTGCAAACGATTTATGGTCATCTTTTAATTATTAATGATGTTCATTTGCAATTTAGCTGTAGGCAGTTCTTACTGAGGTCAGACTCTCCCTGTTCCTGGTTTCCACGCAAATGTATTAGAGCCATCAACATGGAACAAACCAAGTCAGGAGGAAACAGTTTGTGTCAGACAATCCAATTGCTTCCAATGAAGGTGATAAATCAACTAACATGGCTCATCAATATCTATATTGCTAGAATGTCCAGTAGAGCTGTGTAGAGCGATTTGTGCTAATCACATTCATTCATTCATTCATCATCTAATCCACTTATCCTCCTGGGTCGCAGGGGGTGCTCTTGCCTAGCCCAGCCCAGGGTGTCCAGGGGCCTAGGGGCAATTTAGTATCTCCATTCCACCTGACTGCATGTCTTTGGATTATGGGAGGAACATGCAAACTCCACACAGAAATGACCCTGGTCACCTGGCTGGGGAATCAAACCCAACCCTTGGCTCTTGGGGGCATTAGGTGGCTATCCACCTTTGCCTAGTGAAAAGACCACCCCGTGCACTAGTGACAAACATTTCACTCCAATTTGATATTCAAATTAGTAAAATATTCAGCTTCTTGTTCAGCTGCACTCTGGTGAAGTATGAAGTTCAGATGCCTCATAGTTCCTAAATATGAGAACAGAGAGAAGCTAATTTGCAAATCAAAAATCCAAATTTACTAATCCATTTTTTCATGACAATTAAAAAATTCAGATTTTTCATCAAATTCGAATCATAAAGAAATTTCTCCTCTTCTATGCACAAACACAGTGTGGTATGAATCACAGGAGTCCGCACTCCACACAGTTTCTGTTTGTTTCGATGAGCTATGAGTCAGAAATTGTTCATATAAAATCACAGCAAGGCTTCTGCACTCATCTGCAGTAACTGCCGTGTCTAATGGTGAAGAGGGTGCATGCCTGAGTGCTGCCTGCTGATCTGCTGAATGAGCCCAAATCTCCATATTTAAAGAGGAAAACCTTGTTTGAGTGCTATTTTATACCTAAGCATACATTTCAGAGTGGCTGTTTAATAACCCTCTTATTTGGGTAACTGTGTGGGAAAATAACCATATAAAGTTAGGTTGTTCCTTTGCTTCCATTTTTTTCCTCACAAAGGTTATTTTACACGCATAGCAACTATAATAATGCTAATAATACTAATAGACCATTCTCACACTTCCGTGTTCATTATTGCAGAAGCGTAAATAGCAGCGTTAAATAAATTTTTCGTGCATATCAATGGCTGACCAACTACTGGCCAGAGTGTCTACATGCACCAGTAATTCACTCAAACCTCTGTCTCACTTTTAACGAGGCATATACTGTTTTAAAAAAGATGATACTTCAAGGGTTCTTTAGTAAAGATAGTGGTTCTGTACAGAACCTTGAACACTCAAAGAACCATTTGCATGATTAAAGAGTTCTTTGCATGGTAAAATGGTTCTTCTGATTGATGGAGAATGTGCTGTATATGGATCTATATTGCACCAAAAATGTTTCATGGTTCTTCCTAGAACCACTGTTTCTACTAAAGAACCCTTGAAGAACCATCTGTTTTAAGAGTGTGTACCTTGTTAAAAGTGAGAGAGTTTTTCTCAGGTAAGGCAGTTTGGGTGAATTACTGGTTCTTTTTTAAAGACAGTGGTTCTGTAATGAACTATGAATACTCAAAGAACCCTTTGCATGGTGAAAGGGTTCTTCAGATTGATGGAGAATGTGTTGTATCTAGATAGCACCAAAAAGGGTTCTTTTACTGTAACAAGCTTGACATCATAACAATAGCCCTTTATAGAACTCTCTTTGGTTCTATAAAGAACCATATACAACACGTTCTCAATCAAGGACAGAGGACACAGTAATCTTGTGTTGCAGGTAACTGTCGAGTCACAGTTTACAGTTATTTTACTGTAATTTACTGTTAATATGGTCAACTACTGTGAAAGTAATGTAACCAGTAGGCAGTAATTTACTGTCACTGTACACTGTTTTATCAGTTCACCCACAATGTTTAAAAGTTCAGTTATGGTCATGTGTGGGAACACCAGTGTCCCACAGTTTATATGAAGCAAAAATAAACTTTTTTTTTAAAACGAGCAGTAAATCAATTTTTACTTGAAAACGTTACCATGGTAACTCAGACTCTTTTGAGTTTTTGTACCTGGGGTTTTGTACTGTCGGAAGGAGACGTTAGCCAGAGGGAAGTGAAGTACAATGGGAGCTTCAGGATTGTCCTCATCCTCAAACACGTACACCTCCCTCTGCGGCTCTGACGCTACCTTGTTGAAGTCTATTTTGGGGAACGCCACCTGGTGGTCAGTGCAGTACTGCTGAGTCTGCTTCAGGACCTGCAGCAGAGACGTAAAAGCAAAGGTGAGCGATATGGCAGAAATATGACATCATAATATATATCACAATATTTTTATTCCAGAAAAGCTGGAAGGCAGTAGAAAACAATTATATTATCACTCAACATTTGGCAAATCAAAAGTCAAAAATGAAATTTAAAATGGAACAGAAGGAGGAAAAAAAATGACTTAATAGTATAACAGGATAAGCTTGTTACTGTGCAGTTTATGCAGTTACTATATCAGTATCTCAGGAAAGTGTATTTAAATGTAATTCATCTTTATTACAGCAGCATATGGTTATGGCCATATTGGCCACCCTTACATAAAAGTAAGAAAAACAAAGCAAAAGCGATTAATTAGAATGAAATATTAATAAAACTCTAGCAGACAAACACATTTACAGTCCTGCAAGCTCAGTGCAATAATACCAAATTAAAGGTACAATAAGTAAAATCAAACAGACATAACTAGTTTATTGCAACTTGTTAGAACAATAAGAAAATACATACATAATGAGGAAACGTGTACGTATAATGATAAATACATAGTGAAATGAAGTGAAAGTTAATTATCCATAATTATTAATATATTTTATTGTGCATTATTATATGATTTCTCAGTGCCCAATTTTAAGTTTAAACAATATTTCAAACCCTAAAGAAGGCAAAGGCTTATCATGGTGTAACGCTAACTGCAAACGGTCCTGCTGCTTTGTGCTGTTGTGAGTCAACGGCTAGACTTCTTCCTCTTCATGTCTAGACAGTATGAGGCACAAATCGCCACCTACTGTATTGTAGCAGAGTAGCAAAAGTTCGAGGTTCAAGCCTTTGTTGCTAATACCAGATTAAGGAACAGAACAGCGTAATTATTTTATCAAAAATAGCTCACGCGTGCATTATGAATATCACAATGCATTATGATTGTGATAATTATCATTATATCAGCCAGGCCTAGGCACTATTAGCATTTAGTATTATGAAGGTCAGTAAGCAGCAAGTACCTTTAAACCTATGATCACACACTAAATGTGAGTCTCTGTGCTGATGTCTCTGACCTTGAACTGGTCACGTTCCCAAGAGTAGTTGAGGGACAGAATGACGTCAGCGTGTCTGTGTGACCGCAGCACCGGAGGGAAGCTGGCATTAATGGCAAAGCCGGAGTCCACCAAACCCAGTCTGGAGTCCATGGGGGTCAGCTTGTTTGGAAATGCATCTGGGTGAGTATCTACAAAACAAATACACATTTAAAAAGTCAGTATCCTGAGTGGCTGCTAGTGTTTTTAGCTACGCTAATGACATTATTCCATGTTTATAGATAACAGTCAGTCATACAGGGTCAGAAACAACATTAGTCTATCAGAGATTAAGTCCACATGTTTGAGGCAAGTGTGGGATAATTTAGGGATGCAGTTAGCACCATGCTAACTGGTGGGATATAAGGTTCCATTATTTTGCGCTCTTACAAATGATAGTTCTTCAAGGGTTCTTTAGTAAAGAAAGAAGTACAGGATGTGCTGTAAATGTTCTATTTAGAACCTTTTAGAAAAGGGTTCTTCTATTTTTATGACAATATCTATTTCCAAAAAGCTTCTAAATACAATCATCTACAGCACATTCTCCATCAATCTGAAGAACCTTTTCACAAAGCAAAGAACATTTTAATCATGTGTTCATGGTTCCACATAGAAAAATTTTCTTTGCTAAAGAACCTTTGAAGAGCCATTTTTTTTAACTGTATACATTAGTAAAATATACGATACATTTGTACCTCCGAATCAAATTTAAGACACCAAACACGTCTGGCTGATTGACGCTATTTGGAAAAAAAATTGGGTAAATTTGACTTTCTGGTTGAACTATTGCTTTAAGCAGACCTTAAGAGGACCCAACCATTATACAAATACAATACATATCGCAGTATGGCAGGATGACCACAGACCGAGCGCAATCGTGGGAGGCGTGATCATATTAAAATAACATTAAGCTGGATGTGCTCACTATTAGCACTTCTGGGAAGAGAATCATAAATTATGAAATTTCCTTTGTGGGAAATGTCTAACGAACAGACAAACAAGCAAGCAAAGAGATGCCATCCAATTAGCAAGACCAGCTTCTTGTTCGAATTTTTCTGTTCCACCTTAAATGGAGTCTGAAGTGGCAGAATGAAACTGCTGCACCATTTAAGGTGGAACAGGAAAATTCGAAAAGAAGCTGGTGAATGAGAAGCGACTTTAGCTTTGCAACTTGTTTAGTGTTTGACAGTTTCTGGCTGCAGATTAAATGTATCAGGAAACAAACTGGATTGATTATAAACACAAATAAGTCCATTCATCTCCAAAATATTGATGCTTATCTTAAATCTTCCTCTTTGCCTTTTTGGTAGCTACCAGCTAGGTGAGATTGTTGTCTGTGTTGCTATGTGACCAGCAGTCTGCGCACCAGCCTTCAGGGTTAAAAGGTGAATTAGCAGATATACAATAACTCCAGCGTTTAAGACCATTTATTGCTAAAATAGTGTTTAAATGATCAGCGGAGCTTTATTTTACTGCAAAGGAGGATTATTTTATTTGTACCAACAAATGTAATTCTGCTGTGGAGCCACAACAGGGCAGTAAAAGAGCTGCATGTGGCTCCGGAGCCGCATGTTGCAGAGCCCTGAAGTAGATTAATACATCACAATTAATAAACAGTTCTGACCCTTCCAGGCGGTGAAGGTGGAGTGTTCGCTGTAGCTGTTGTGCAGGAAGAAACCTCTGAGAAAGTTGAAGGCTTTGCTGATGACGGGCCGTCTGTTCATGAAGCTGCTCAAAACCACCGCCTCAGGGACTGACCCGCAGAGTGTCCAGTGTCGAAGGGTTATGGACCTTCTCTAAACACCAGAGGAGAACAGAAGTGAAGGCTTGGGATTGATTTTAAAAATGCTAATTTATATTTTTGTGCTTTCCTTCATCTAGTGCACCTGATTTTACTCAGTACACTCTTAAAAAAGATGGTTCTTCTAGGGTTCTTTAGTAAAGAAAATAGTTCTATAGAACACTCAGAGAACCCTTTGCATGATTAAACTGTTCTTTGGATCATGAAAGCATTCTTCAGAATGTGCTGTAGATGGTTCTATACAGCATTTTTTTAAGGGTTCTATGCAGCACCCAAAAGGGTTCTTCTAGTTTTACAATGTCAAGCCTGTAACAATAGAAGAACCCTTTTGGGTGCTATATGGAACCTTTTTCGAAAAAGGTTTTGTATAGGACCATCTACAGCACATTCTCCATCAATCTGAAGAGCAGTTTCATTATGCAAAGAATGCTTTAATCATGCAAAGCCTTCTTTGAGTGTTCATTTTTTTCTTAAAGAACACTTGAAGAACCATATTTTATAAGAGCATAGCTTATTAAGCTTCCCGTGCGCCGAGAAATATGCATTAGAATAAGCAGTAAGAAAAAAAAACAAACAACCAGGCACCGGGACCACTCACACGCACAGCATTCAAAAGTTTGGGGACATTTTTGGCTGCAAGCACAATGAGTTTTTGTGAAGAGTCAGATATTAAACCAGGCAGATTTGTGTGGATAGTGAAGCAATGACATCCTGATAGAAGAGGTGTAAAGCATGCTCTGGTGTTGAATTGCCACTCTTGGTGCGGACCACCATGAAAATGCCTTTCCACCAGCAGCAAACTGGATGCAGATTTTTGCAGATTTCTGTTGTTTAGTGCACACCGGAGTACAGGTGGTGTGTTCACACCTGTCAGAATGAACCGGATTAAAGAAAAAGCAAATTACAGAAAAGCACCAGGTATCCGTCAGGTGTTGCGTACCGATACTGCTAACCTGCTCCCCCAGCCACGGAGTCCAAGAAGGCATCACTCCAGTTATGGTGCTCCACAACTGTGTCAGGTTCAGAGAGAAAATACTGCTCCATGTTCCTACACACACACACACACACACACACACACACACACACAGTTTAACATTGTGATCAAAGTATTACATGTAATTTGGCTAATATACAGTACTGGGGTACCGATACTTCATCCATTTAATTTCCAATGTGTGTTCTCAGGTCATGTCTTCAACATGGTGGTAGTATGAGATAAGACTGATGAGAGAGGGGAGAACTCTGAGAACTTGTGCTGGAGTTCTGGGTAGCTTCTGCCTGTAGCTAGAAGGCCAGAGCCCCAAGCAGCTGTACTAGGACTGATGCAGGACTGAGGAAGAGGGAGGAGATGGGGTGACGGTGGGGATTGCGAACAGTGAAGATGTGAATTTATAGAGTGTTAGATTAAAAGAAAGAGGGGTTTCAGCCATGTTCCACCTCCCCCCCCAAACCTTAATCATATCATAACTACATGAATAACCACTACATAAAAGTTATTCATTTTTCAAGAGATATTTGTGAGGAGATTATGTACAATATAATATAATCCACTTGCATGGGGAAGGAGAAACTGTGACCCCTAACAACCTAGAAGGGCTGGTAGACACCAAAACTGCCCCCATCAGATAAACAGCACTTAAAGCTTTCATCTCTGAGAGAGAGGAGAAAATCAAGCTGCTTCAGATCTGAAAACATCCACAGGTGTTTCTGTCCATCCTTCCACTGTGAGAAGATGACTCAGCGCTGTGGGTCTGAAAGGACTGAACTTTGGAGGTGTGTCTGCAGATTTTGAGAAACTGAAAGTGAGTCTCTTGAAAAGAGTGGAAGCTGGAATAAAGGTAAGGAGTGAATCACAGAACATTCAAACAGCTGATATTAGAGTTAGCTGTTGAGGCTTCTGTATAATTGTGTGTTAAATGTGAGTTTTCTTTTTTTTTTCCTGATGCTAAAAATTAATAACTTGTACTTAATGGTTCTTTTGGCAGAGTTAAATAAATGAAGGGTGGTATCAGACTTCTGATCCGTCCTGTACACTCTTAGATTGTGCAAATGCTGCCCCTCACACTCCTCACTGACCCAAAAGGAAGGAGAGGCGTGTCTCTGGGAGTTTTTTGATCAGGTGACCCAGGTAGTACTCGCTCCCAAAATTTTCTGCAGGGACGAAGGCTCCGTATTTGGGGAATCCCACCTCAAACGGGGTAAACTCACACCACTCTGCAAACAAACAAATGCAAGGAGTAAACAAAATATAAAAACAAATCCTGTTAGAAAGGATTTGGCTCTTTCAATTCATCCATCACTTTATTATCCCAAACTGAATCAGGAGTGCTCGAGTCAACCACCAGAGTGTTTTTAAACTCACTGTCCACTCTATTAGACACTCCTACCTTGGTCCACCTTGTAGATGTAAAGTCAGAGACGATAGCTCATCTGCTGCTGCACAGTTTGTGTTGGTCATCCTCTAGTCCTTCATCAGTGGTCACAGGACGCTGCCCACAGGATGCTGTGGCTAGATATTTTTGGTTGGTGGACTATTCTCAGTCCAGCAGTGACACTGAGGTGTTTAAAAACTCCAGCAGCACTGCTGTTTCTGATCCCTTCAGACCAGCACAACACACACTAACACACCACCACCACGCCAGTGTCACTGCAGTGCTGAGAATGATCCACCACCCAAACAGTACCTGCTCTGCGAGGGTCCATGGGGGTCCTGACCATTGAGGAACAGGGTAACAAAGGATGCAGAGAAACAGATGGACTACAGTCTGTAACTGTAGAACTACAAAGTGATCCTATATGGTCAGTGGAGCTGATAAAATGTACAGTGAGTGTAGAAACAAGAAGGTGGCCATGTGTGATTTGACTTAAATTGATAAAAATGATTAACACATTGACATGATATTGACATAAAAACAAAACCAATCTCTGAAACTGTAACTTTCTAGATGAAGAACATTACTCATTATAAGATAAACTTCGTATCAGTATTAAAGTAAAAATTAGTCCTGTGAAAAACGAAATTATTTTATAATTATTCAAAGAAGGACTCAGTTGACTAGTTAACTTAAGCCCCAAGTCAAAGGTATGTTATAGAAAAGAAGGATCCCTATTGGACAGTATTCATATTCGGATAATGTTGTCCAGCTTTACTGAGAAATCCTGCTTTGTAATCCATCTCCAGTCCTACAGGGAGTTAAAAACTATTTCAAACTACAGATGATAACAGATTCTGGATTATGGTGTCTGTGTGTAAAATTATGATTCCCGGGGTTTATTTGTAGTATTTACCGGCCACCATGGAGCCGCTGGTGTCCTCCTTCATGTTGACCGCTGTGTAGATAGGGAGAGGGTTCTGGCCTTCAGAGACTGCCCTCTTCTGGTCAGACAGTGTACCAGTGTTCTTCTAAATAAAAAAAGTAAATGTGGATGTGTGTGTATAAAATATGTATATGAAACACACACATTATATGTATACATATATATATATATATATATATATATATATATATATATATATATATATATATATAAAAAATCGCTGTTGTCGGAAGAAGAACCTCGTATCTTCAAAATGGTAGACAAGTCTTATCAGGTATTTCAAATTATGTCAAAAACTGAAAAAGGCTTTCTTCCGACAAGAGCAATATATATATATATATATATATATATATATATATATATATATATATATATATGACACTTAATAAGATATTGTATTTTGCAGTGTAGGAATTTGAGTGTTAATGAGAAATACGATATCTTATTAAGTGAAAACATGCTAAATATAGTCAATATATCTAACATATCTTGAGATTGTTGTAATATTATTTTACTTTTTTCTAGACGTTTGTACTCGCTGCTGGTCAGACAGTGTACATGCATTCTTCTTAAGAAAAAGGTATACACATATATTTATATATAGACAATTTTACTTGTTCTTTGTAATTTTATCTTATGAAAGCGTCTTGTTCTGTTAGCAGACCATGTTACTTTTTAAGCATTATTTCTTAAAATAAGCAATATTATTTGCACAAGTAAAACAATCTGTTGATGGAATAACACACTTTGACCAGAAAATATTACATAAAACAAGCAAAAAAGTGTAAAAATGTAAAGGCTGAATAATCGTATAATCTTCTTATACAAATCTCATAATATCTAAAATTTGATGTCTACATTTAAGATGTTTTCACTTGCTATCATTTTGTTGCAGTGTAACGTTGGTTATTTCATATTCCCTACCAGTAATTTATGAAATGTAGATATTAATATTACAAACCAGATGCCAAAATGCATTTTAGATGTTTCAGAATAGTTCTAGAACTTCATGAGCAACATGAAGTGCTGCGTTTATCTATTTACAATACTGGCAACAAGCTATATTCCAGTCTCATTAAATCACCACTGTCCAAAAAAACAAACAAACAAAAAATGTCTTTTTTTATTTTTCTACATTATTTGAAACCAGAGTCTGACCTTTACCTTTACACTGTGTGCGAATTTCATGATGAACAGACCAACAGAATTGCTCTATAATTGGTCTTGGTCTGATTATCTGACATTAAAGTAAAGAGCGTTTTTGCCCACTCTTGTAAAGTTCAGCCCCTCTGCTGCACTGTGATCAGACCTTGCCGAAGACGAGCTGCTCCAGGAAGAGTCCCCACATGTCAATGAGAGAGACAGGGTGTCCCTCTTTCTCTCTCTGATCCAGCTCAGTGCTGTAATACTGCAGCAGCCGCGGAGAGAACAGGCCGGACACGCTCTTACTGAGCTCCTTCTGCATGGACAGCATCCCCTCATCCATCTTCTTTACTGACCAGCGTGGGTCACTGTACAGGGACGACACTGCCCTGAGAGAGAGAACAGAAATAAACTGAACATGCTTTCTTTAGTAGTTTCTGCTGCTTGAGAAGATTTCCAGATTTTTTTCTACATTTCTGCATAATGAAGGGGAATTTTTACATAATCCAGTGGTTGAAAATGGTAAAACGGTGATGTTTGCCTGTAATGCCCCAGCACACCCACCAGGTGGCGCCAGACACTGCTGTGATGTAGCTGACCGTGTCCAGCAGGCCCAGTTTCTGCAGGCCCCTTAGAGAGCCGAGTGTGCAGGTCATGGCCCGGGTACCACCACCAGAACAGACCACGGCTACCGTCGGCACCTAAACACACACAATAACCACACTTCAACTCAGCAGTCCTGTTCTTTAACAAGACCTATTTGTCACATACATTTAAAGGGAAATGTCACTGATGTTCCAAAATATCTGCATAATTAAACAGATAAGGTGTAAACAGAGTCATTCAGAGTGGTTTGGTGTGAAATGCTCTGTTCTAGAGAAACTTACCAAGTCAAAATTGTTCGAATTGTGTAAGATGAGACGGATCATTGTTCATTCGTGTATAATCACCTGTAACTACGAATCGTTGTGTTTTTGTTGGCTTAGAATGAGCTCTTCATATCTACAAAGGGAGCGGCTCCTCTTTCAACAGAGGCCGCCATGTTTCTACAGTAGTCCAGAACAGACAAACCAAACACTGGCTCTAGATAATGTAGCTGTAGTAGTTAACGAACGGCAAAGAGAAAGATTGAAGACGAACATTGATCATTTGGAGATGAATGGACTTATTTGCATTTATAATCACTCCAGCTGTTTCCTGATACGTCTAATCTGCAATGAGTAACTGTCAAACACTAAAAAGCCGCAAAGCTGAGGTCAGCTTCTCATTCGCCAGTTTCTCCTTCAAATTTGATCCATGTTTCACGCAGCTACATTCTGGCACCTCAGGCACCATTTAAGGTGGAAGGGAAAATTCAAACAAGAAACTGGCGACTGAGAAGCGACTTCAGCCTCACAAAAAGTCAAACGTTGAGAGAAGTTTTACAACAAACTGTTCTTCCTGCTGGAGATGTGAGAAAAGTGGCTATAGCTGAGCTAAAGCTTAAGCTTAAAGCTTAAAAGTGTTTTCATTTATATTATATTTTTTAGCCTATACTAGCACATCAGCACATACTGAGACATTTTTACAGACAAGATGGTAAAATGGACATAAAATGTTGTGTCTCCAACGGTGGATTGATTTTTGTAGAAAGGACAAAATGGCTCTTCTTACTATTTAGGTTGCTGACCCCTGCTCTACAGGGTGCCTTTCATATTTTTTAAGTAGAAGCGGCAGCTTAAATATGGTGGCTCTGTAGTTCTGGTTGGAAGACATAGAAAGAAGAAGAATCAGTGGTTGCTGCTGGAGCTGACTGACCATTTTGTGCTGTTTGAGAACCCAAATTTGAACAGGTAATTTAGCATACCAGTCTACTTGACAGGCCACAGTAGGTTCTACTATATGCTTGGAAAGGGAGGGGTGAAGGGTTCAGCTGGTTGCAATCTACAACCTCACCACTAGATGCCACTAAATCTTACACACTGCACCGTTAGGCCCTAAGTGATGACTTCCAAGTGGAACTGTCTTTTACATCTTCTCCTATAAGACACAGAAATCCTGTTTTATGAAATGCAACTGTGGTTACAATGTACAGTCACCACCTCTGTTTACGTTTAGTTGCTTGTTTACAGTTAGTTTTTTACATAGGGGGTTGACTGTAGAGGTCTGCGTGGGACGCTCCTACGACATTTCATCCCACCCACCCGCTCAGAAAATCGGAATCATTTCTCCCACTCCCGCCCTCAACCAAAATGATTTGTCCCGCTCCCGCCCGCACAGTTCCATCCAGGTGAACTGACATCCAATATCTGATGCAGTCTATGCACAAATACATTATTCTTTGCTGCATTAACACGCCAGTCACGGTCATCAGGCTCACTGTCTGGTGAAGCTCACTCAACTTCACCAAACACCGTTTATTCCCACAAAACACAGAGCAGGAATTAAACCACAGGGCGGTTATTTTTGGTGTTTTGCTGGGCAGCTGTGACCATTGGACTGAAGGCTCCACCATCTCTGTAACACCTGATTCACACATGCTACCTCTGTGTGGAGTGGAACAGCGAGAAAATTATACAGACATTCATTTTTCCAGACAGATAAATGGTCACCTCAGTCATTCTGATCAATAAAAACTTCATTTATGAAAGTACACGGTATATTTGTTTATCCTCGACAGCATTCTGACTTGTGCAACACTGAAAATTAGTCCCGCACTGCAAGGTACTGTGCCGGGTCCCATGGGAATCTGCAGTAGTGTAGACCTCAAGTTGCCTGTTCAGAAATGTATCTATGTGTATGTGTGTGTGTGAGTGTGTGTGTGTGTGTGTGTGTGTATACCCTGCTGGGATCAGGATCAGTGTTGAGGTTCAGAGCTCTTTTCAGAGCACGGGATGCCACTTCTTTCCTCTTCATCAGAAACGCCTTCTCTGCTTCAGGAATATCAAAATCCAGACGAACATTCAGCTCCTCTTCAGAGCTACAAACACACAGACACATCATCATCATCATCATCATCATCATCATGACACCACCTAACAGATCAAGCATAATTGTACGTAACAATTTATTAGGCCATGAATAAATGAACAAACCGATCGACTGTACCTGTCTGTTGTCTTCAAATGCAAATCTACATTATGCTGTGGGATAAAACATGAAACACTTTAATGATAATCCTAATTAAGGTTCATATTTAAGGTTCTTCAAATAGACAACAGAGGAACTAAGGGGAACTTTATGGAAGATCTGAAGGACCAGAGTATGGATGCTCCTACTCACAGAATGGTCTTTTCTGTATTTCTACTATTTACAACAGTTTGGAATAACAGTTAAACGAATCCAAACTTTGATTTAGGGTTCCTAAAAGTAGCCCCTTAAAGTAGTAGGGAGTGCATTTAAAAATACATACAGTACTGTGCAAAAGTCAGAGGCCGCCGTTCATTTACTTAATTTCCTGTCAAATTACATAGAATTAAATAGAAACGGTTCAGCCATTAAATAGTAACTATTAATTTTTCAGGAGGAGATTAGATTATAAGGTAACATAACATGATAAAAATATAATAAACCATAAGATAAGATAAAACATCAAGATCTGAAAACATCCACAAGTGTTTCTGTCCATCCTTCCACTGTGAGAAGACGACTCAGCGCTATGGGTCTGAAAGGATGTGTAACTGTCAAGAAGCCTCACTGAAAAAGGGAGACAGACACATCAAACAAAGAAGCTGAACAATGGAATGACCACCCCAGAGTCCAGACCTCAACATTACTGAATGTGTTTGATTACTTCAGAAAATGATCAAGATTAACAAATCAGGTAGGTCCAGTCTTTTGATTGCTACTGTAATTATGGAGGGGATGCATTTTCACTTAACAAGTTACCTTTAGAGATGTCAGTATTAGCATTTTCAGGGTTAAATTAGCCAAAAATGCTTTTAGTGTGGGCAGACAGGGTGGTTTTATATAGTTCATCTGAGAAAGTGGTTGAATTTATAAGGTTCTGTCTGCGTTCTGGGCAGTTTTGAGATATTGAGCTTCAAAGATTTTGCATTCCAAATAGCAAAACTGATGTGTCAACACGCCTCTTTAATATATGACAATAACAGACACCCTAAATGCTTTCTAAGTACATAATTATAAAAATCTATCAAATATGTAAATGTACAAAAATGGAACATAAATGCAGATAGAACCTTCAAATCCTAAGAACTCACTTTTCTGCTTGGAGTTATAAGGTTCTGCCTGATGAAACATGAAAAAAAGCAACAATTTTCAAGGAACACAGATAGTTTACACTCGTAATTTCTTTTGAAACATAAAATTTGTGTAACAGAGTGTTTACATGATCAGAAAGTTAAATGTAATGCTTTTTTGAAATTTTTATGACATTTATTTTTATTATTTACATATTTTTTATGACATTTCCTGTTTTAGGACAAATCATCTTTTTCTTATTCAAAAAAGCATTGATTGTTAGATTAAGTATGAAGGTCAGTGCTAAATATTTTGTGAAGTGTAGAGGTCAGTTTTAGGTAGGAAGCATATGTTTAATAGGTGTCACAGCAACCAGTTACTGCTGTATGTCCCAGCAGGTCAGTGTAGCCGGTCAGTCTTAAGTCAGTACGAGGTTTTATTTTATATCAGAAATGTGACTCTAATGAGCCAAATACCTTTTTTTGGGAGAAAGAAGAAAAAGAAAAGATGAATGAATGAATGAATGAAATTGTTTATGTTGTAATTAAGAGCCCAACAATTCAAATGTGCACTATTTAATTGTCTTTAAGGCTTAATATTTATAACATTTAAGACAAGACTTTTTTGGGGACTTTAAGAAGACAGGCAGAGTTTCAGCAACATGTTTTCATGTTTCATAAAGTTGTATAAACTTTTCCCGCAGTCACTGAGCAGAGCGGCGACATGACAAAGAAGCAGAACCTGATTGGTCCTCTTGTGTGTATTCGAATCTTATAGAGCTAAGTCAGAGTTTGACTTTGAAGATAGAACCTTTCTGTTTTCTAGATAAAGAGTCCAAAAATGTATATAACTTAATATAATGTTATGAAGTTGTCACAGAATAAGAATAACTCGTTTGACAAAAATGTCAGATTTAAATAATATTAAAAAGTCAAAAAATAGTCAAAATAAATAATATTTTAAAAAATTGGGATTTGACTAGTGCCCAGTATTTTACATTTACCATCCAATACAAGTTAATTCAATCAATTATTTGTTTAATTAATTAAATTAAATCAGGTGTACTGCTGATGGAAATGAATAAATTAATTTCTTGTAATGTTATATAGTTTTTATAATGGAAAAAATACACTGACTGCCCATATAAATAGTGGTAATAGTTTAGCATGACTGCCTCAGACTTCTGCACAGTACTGTGTGTGAAATGTCAGTGTTAGTGAGCAGAAAACACTCAGTCAGCCTCACCTTTGCCATGGGGAGAGAGAGAGTCAGCTCAGTTTTTGGTGTAAATGGGGTTACAGTGACAGACGCTTGATCAGGACCTTTTTCACCATCTTCCTCAACAGACTACACACATCAGACAACATACACAACAAAAGGAAGATCAGATAAAGACCTCTCTGTTAGTTTCCTCTAGAACAGCTTTAGATCCAGTTAGAAAACCAACAGTCAAAGGTCACCTCTAAACCATTAGGATCCTTTACATTGTGGTATCAACCCATCAGAAAAAGCCAGAACACATTAGAAACCAACTAAGAACCAACAGAATCGTTTAATGGAGGTGCTGCGGTGTGTCTGGCTCTAGACATCAAACACATTTACGTTACACGTTGACTCTCAAACAGACTTGTTTCCAGGGTTTCTGCCGTCATGTTACTGTTTCCATTAAAAAAAACTTGCAGAAAAAGAACCATTAGAAACAATTAGGATTAAAACCTAATGGTTTTGCTTTCTTGTTGGAATTGTCTTAATGGTTTCCAAGACTACTTTCCTGCACAACACATTTAGATCCCATTAGCAAACCATCAAATGCATTTAGAATTAGTTATTTGTGAGTCCTTTACATTGTGATATAAACCCATTAAAAAAGCCAAAACACCTTACAAAACCATCAGGAACCAACAGAAACACTTGGTCACTAAATGGTTTCCATGTTTTTTCAGCAGGGATGTACAAAAGTACAGACAAAAGGCTTCAAGGTGCTACCAGAGCCAGTTTATGGGAAGCCTGGCCTCTTCCTATTTCCCCCGTTATATCAAAAACATGACTGCCAAAGAGCAGAAGGCACCCGTGAGCAGTGAATCAGTAAATGGGGGTAAATGGAGCTAAATGGTTAAAAATGAAAAGTTAAAATAGTTTCTAATCACTCTTCTGGAACTTTCCTTTAATTTAAGTAGAAGGATGTATTTCACTAAAGCAAAGAAAACACCTGTATGTTTGCTTTTTTCTACAGCTAACAGGTTTTGGGCAGCAGAAAGCTGACATCACTGCTATTGAGTGCTGATTGGTTGGCAAGCAGAGCAGCTCATTGGTTGTTTGTGCTCACTGACATAATAAACGCACATAAAGTGCCATTTTAAACTCCTATAACTCAAGTTTAAAAGCATTTAAAAATATAACAGCAGTGTTCAAATGTTTTATGCTGTGTTCAGGAAATAAATGTATTCTTTTACATTAAAATATTTCAGCATTTATAAACTGTGGTTTTGCTCAAATGCCCAATATTAACCTGTTCATTTTGGACTCGCTCGGAAGCGCCCTCTAGTGTTTGAGAAACCCGGAAGACATTACAGAGTGAATTCTCGTCTCTACAAGTTCTCTGACGCTACCACTGTTTTTAGCTAGGCTAACATACTTGACTCAGTTTGAGGCAGGTTTGTGTTGATTTAGGCATGTTTGTTAATTGCTAACTAGTTTCTCTTAAGTTTAAACTGCAACTCACAGGCAGAAAACATTCTCTCATGCTGCCCGTAAACAGAAGTTCATTTAAAGCAATAAAGATTAAATTAAGATTAAAGAAAAATCTAATTTCCCCCATTATGTCAAAGTAGTCGATCAGCAAAGGCATGTTGGCTTCTTTAGTTTTGCACCAGGGCTACAAGGCTAATGTAGCGAACAAGGCTAACAGGTAAGGGAAACTGATGTAGTTATCAATTAGCAAACCGCATGCCTAAATCATCATAAACTTGCCTCTGTACAAAACTTCAAAACTTTCTCAGTACTTTTGTACATTTGCGTAGAAACAGTTTGTCATACAGTGTCAGAAAACCCGGAAACAAGTCTAGGATGCCATAAGTCGATATGTAATTAATGTAAATGTATTTTATTTCTAAAGACTATCACGCACTGGACATGCTACACCACCTAGCAGGCGTCACAGTGAGAACACTGATAAGCATCAAGCTAAAACTCATTTTACACCCTTCTTGCCTAGATCTAATGAAATAAACCTTCAGGTCTGGTATCAGCTAACTGTGTTCAACAGGAAAAACTAATGCTAGGCTAGTTAACTAGCTAGTCTGTTTTTCTTGCAAATTTGAATATAGGCCTGTCACAATCATGAATTTTCTTCATTTTATGGAACTACTAAAGTACTAAAGGAGCTAAACTGTCTGATTATCTACTTACAGATGTTTACACAACCAAGCAAAACTTACATTTTAAGTAAAAATGTGAGCAAAAAAGACTTGTTATGCTAGCATACATGCTAATATTTGCATTAGCTATCCTCACAGTCAAACTAACAAAGACGCATTCACCCTAAACATGTTACGGAACCCAGTTAAGAGTTAGAACTTCAAGTACAAGAAAAGTTATAAGATAGAATTGATTTGTTTACATTTATTTGGCTCAAGCCAACTGAAACTCATCTGGCTCACATTGTGCTGTTGTGATATAAAACAACGAATTATGAAATCTAATGACTGTGTGAAAACTGCAGTCTTTTTAAATAATTGTAATTATCTCAAATAATTGTGATCAGGTGATTATGTAATAATTGTGACAGGCCCACGTCCATTACCATTCAAGGGAATTGCCTGTGACTAGGCTAATCATGTAGTTAACACATACATTTGAGCTGTGTGTTCTGAGTCCAATCTCAGTCTCCAGCTCTCTGTTGATGTAGTAGCGAAGCGTTTGCAGGAGGCCCATGTTTTTGGATGGACAGAAGACGTGGTCTTCTTTATATGCGCCTTTTAGGCTTAGCACCAGGTCCTGACCTACCGGACCGTTGGATCAAAACACAAGAAGTCAAAACAAACAGTATGATTAGTAGATTTACAATCAAATTCCATTCTGTACAGACATGTTCAGGTCTGCACTTCTGACTTCATTAAGCGTTTTGATGTTAAACAGTCTCAAAAAACATGCCAAAAAAATAAAAGTTAAATAAAAACTGTATACACGGCAATAACTTTTGATCAAATTTGAAAGTAGAATAAAATATCTCTTCTTCCACTTACTAACACAAAAAAGAAATGATTCATATAAAATGAACTGTCTCACCTTCAGTGGGCAGCTCTTTGTCTAACTTGACCTCCAGAGTGGACAGTGGGGCCGCCTACAATTACAGGAAAAGAGTTAAAGCAAACTTTATTAGCTCCACTTATAACTCCACCATGTAAGTGTACAGTTACAGACTACACTACATTATACTACGTCTGTGGCAGGTCCTCACCATACTACTTTTTCCACCACCTCCGCTGGTTGTGGTACTATGAGCTGATACTGTCCCACTTCTGACACCAGTGTGGCATCAGTGAAGATGAAAGCATGCAAAATATTGCACTTCAAAGGTGAATGCTCTTTAACTGAACAGGCAGCAAGGGAGAACCGCTGCTTAGTGCTCCCAGGGGAACACAAGCCAGCAGCAGGATGCTACAGTATGTTAGCATAGACAAAAATGTTAGGTAACAGCTAACTAAAACTGTGGTTACACTGGATTGCCACCTGAACAGCTAACACTAGCTAGTTAACTAGTTTTTTTTTTTGCAAATATAAGTGATAAGTGACGTTATATTGACTGAGGAGTTGTTCAACCGTTTATTTATTTCTTTTCAGAAAGATACCAAGAATTGCCCTCTTGTTCCCAGATAGCAGACAGTTGTGGGCCATTGTTGGTTGACTACCACAATAAGGCTGACATGGTTTAGACTGGTTTTCGCAAGGATTTCACAGCGTAATGTGGTCAGGAAACATGTGGCCGACAGGAACAGTCTGTAATGAACAATTACAGACTGCTGATTGCAGAGCAGATTTAAAAATGACAAGAAAAACACACCCGCTAGAAAAAATGTATATGTAAGCAAACATACGATGGTATCTTGCTTCATAGAAACAGACAAAACAGTGGAATAGCTATTAAAAATGTGATGCTAAACACCACATATTGTTTTAATCCAGCGACTATGTCTTTTTTATATTGTCATGGTACACAAGCCCGCTAGCTTATAGATCTATTTCAGGCCTACAATTATACTTTAAAACAAAAACAGCTCTTGAATACAGCATGGTTTAATCTTAATGAATCATAATGCACATTGCATGATAACACTGTAGATTTGCCTGTGCAGGATGTAACATGTTCTTACCACTAAAACTCCATTGGAGAGGTACTGTCCAGGTTCTTCAGAACTGTAACACAAATACAGATCCGTTAGGTTCAGTTTAATGTGCAGATTAGAGAAAACTGGATTAAAGTACATTGAGCTCTATCAGCTAAAAGAAAGTCAGTCCTATGTTTAAAAATCTAAGTCTAGTATATATGATAGCAGATCTACAGTATCTGTCCAAAAGTATCCAGACAGCCCTTCTAATGAGTGAATTTAGCTACTTAAAGGTCACCCATTTGCTGACACAATAGAATGGGACACTGCTGCACTGAAGTCACCATGCCTAATGGGGCTGTGGAGCAGTGGAACTGAGTTCTCTGAAGTGATGGAGCTCCATCTAATACCTTTGGGATAAGTTGGAGTTATCCAGAACTGACCATCAAACAAAAGTACCTGACCTCACTAAAGTTCAATCAAATCCTCACAGCAATGTTCAACATCTAGGGATTTATTTGTTTATTTTTAGGATCCCCATTAGCTGCTATCACGATAGCTGCTATTCTTCCTGGGGTCTGGTAGACAGACTATACATTACAAAATAGTGCAATAACAATCAGTGAAACAACTCATAAAAAATAAAAGAAAAACAAAAAGAAACTGAGAAAAAACAAAACAATGAAAAATGGAAAACGACATAGTAGGACAATTTAAAACATAAAATAAAAGCCCTCCCAGAAGAGTAGAGGCTGTTACTGCAGCAGGGGGACAAACTCACATTTTTTTAAACTTCTGCATAAAGCAATGATTAAGACAAAACCATTCAGAGTTGTCAGAATAGTTCACAGTGGTGGTGATAGGAACCAGACATCCACTACTAAAAGCTCCCTCACAGAAAGTTACTACATGAAATGGTTATGAATAAAATACCTGCTGTCTGAAACACTGTTTTGACATAAGCTTTTGGGCTTTAAATCTTCTCATTGTGGAGGGGTAAATTCAGGGTGTTGTGAGGCAAAAGTAGTCCCCAAAGAAAACTTATTATTTCAGATTTTCCACTATTTTCCCCATCATCAACATTCCATGTAAACTCAGAAGACACGTGTAGGTTCACTGGTGCTTTTGGATAGTACATAAAATGTCTGTTTTTGGTTGTAGTCATGGCGACCCCTGGTTCCTATCACCACCACTGTAAAGACTATAAAGACATCTGAACTATTTCACACCAAACCACTCTGAATCATTCTGCTCACATCTCAGACACTGAATCACGTGGAAATTACACTTTAACACCATTGGTTTAAGAAGAAACTCTGATGTCTACAAACTTTTGGACATATACAGCATCGATGTTTTTGTGTAAAACAGCTTAGCGATTCAACTGTGAAGCTGTGGCTCCTCCTCATTCACTTCCCAGCTACTTCAGTCAATAAACTCTCATTTACAATCATATTCGAAAGATTTAATCCAGGATTTTATACAAATGTGTGCTGTGTTCTCGCAACTCAGTTTGTCAGCTTTCACTTGGTGACAACATTTCCACACTTACCTCTCTGTTATCTCAAATTCCACCCACAACTCATCCTTTGTCTGGAAATAGAACCACAACAGCAGCCCATCACCAAAATGTCTTTACATAATCACATTTATACATGCTAATGTTTGTCCCAGGTTAGTCCTGGTCAGTTTGTTCTTGAATGCATGCTGTTAGTTCTCCGCTCCAACTCCTCTACATGCGACCATATGGCTGAAAAGACAGCTGTGGGTGAAAGCTCACACTGTCTATTGAGCGCGCATGTGCAGCGCACCAAGCACTTTTTGAGGTACACTACTGAATTAAAGGAATAAAATCAAATTTGCTCACTTTCCCCACCCTTAACCCAAAAGTAGTCAATCAGCAAAGACACTGGAGCTATGAGGCTAATATAGCTAACAAGAAATGCAGCTAAGTAACCAATCAGCATGGTGCTAACTGCATGCCTAAATCATATACTCACCTCAAAGCATGTAGAGTTGTTCAGTATCTCTAATAGTCTTTATTTTGTGGTTTCTGACGCGGTATGGCATGCTGTTATCTACAAACATGGAGTACAGTATGCCACATAGCTAAAAACGGGAGTAGCAACCAAGAAGCCTTCATTTTGCCCATATTTCTGTCCGTGTTTATAAAAAACAGTATGTCTTATGGTGTCAGAAACCACATAATCAAGTCTATGATTAACAACTCCACATGGTTTGTGTGATGATTTAAGCTTGCGGTTAGCACAATGCTAACTGGTGGCCTAAGGTTATTAGTTCTACATTTAAATGTATGGTGTTTGGCAGACACTCTAATCCAGAGGGACTTTTAATCATGTTGCAGAGAGAGGTGAACATAGTGTTAGCAGTCTAGTCCAAGGACTCGTATTGGTGTAGCAGTGCGTGCTGCTTGCACACAGCACAGATTAGCATGCATTTCATGCTTGTCTAAGGCAGTAGTGTTATCCAGTTAACTATACCAACCAAATGAATTTCACCAGACGAGCATCTGTAGCTACAAACATAAATAAAAATACACTGAATTGTAGTGATTTAGTTTTTTTTTGTGAAAAATGTACATACTTGCCAATATTCTAATGAAGCAAATGTTGTCAGTGTTGCTAGACTGTATTGAAGTGTGAGCTTTTACCCTCTGCCCTCTACCTCCAGCCCAGAAACAGCACAGTCCCAAACCTACAACTCCTACATTTCTCTGCATGCAACTGTAAAGCTTCTCTTACCTTCTCACTCTCTGGCATATTCTGCTGGGCCTAAGCAAGACAACTGAAAAGCTCAGTGGCTGCTGCTCTACTGTAGCAGCACTTTTCAAATGACAAAAGATAAACTCAAAAGTGGCCAAATTTCACCACAATTGTCATAATGTTTCCATGTTACAGGTTTAAAGTAATGAATCTACAGTAGTACAATGTAAAAAGGTGGTATTGATATAATTTTGACAGAAGCACAAAACAAAATGACCAGCGTTGAATGAACTCTCACTAAGGATGTACCGAACATGAAATTTTACGTCCAATTCCAATTCTTTTTACGATGGCCGATATTGGTCATTTTTTAGCAGCTTTTTTTTTCCCCTGAAATGTGCACATGACACACACTAGCACATTTTCAGCACTTTCTCTTAGCATTTTGAAAGAACTTTCCCAAATGGCGCACTGTCAAAACATTGGCTCTATCATCGACACATCGTGATTTAGATCCCCAGTAATGCTATAGCCATCCACTTGCCTGGAGTCAGCCTACCCAGAGTACAATATCCACATATCCTTTACCTCATAGATTTGCAACACAGATCAGTCAAAATCTGATTAATAAATTGTCCAATTGCATTTTGGGAGTACATGCATCCCCCCCGTACCGTGCTGAATTAACACGTACAGTCTCAGATTAACACCGACTGACCTTATCATCAGTGATGAAGACTTTGGTCTCCTTCTGTCCCAGTGTGAGGTTGCTGATGTCGAACAAGATGCTGGTGCAGAGGTCGTCTTGTAATATGTCTTGGTCGTAGACGTTTAACTCCAGAATATTCTGTAGGACAAGACAACAGTGTCTTTGGTTAGACTGGCAAATCTTATAATAGCTAAAATGTACAATTTTCTGAAGGGCAGCTGTTCAAGGTCAGTTTCACAGAGGCTGTTTGGTTTATAACAGTAGAAGTGCTTTTTTATACACTTTAATCTCTACACTTATTAAGACCTTTTCCACACACCCAAACGTTTACAATGGAAAATAAGAAGGTGTACGCTAACATAGCAGACTCTGTGGAGAAGAAATACAGAGTGCACTGTCCTACAGAATATATTTCCAATTCTGATGCTGAAGGTTCAGTATTCTACAGAATATATTTCCAATTCTGATACTGAAGATCCAGTGCCCTACAGAGTTTATTTCCAACTCTGGAAATCCGGTAGCATCCTGAGTTTATTTCCAATTTCTATACTGTAGATCCAATACCCCACAGAGTTTTTTCCAATTCTGATACTGAAAATCCAATACCCTACATAGTCTATTTCCAATTCTGATACTGAAGATCCAATACCCTACAGAGTTTATTTCCAAATTCTGATACCGTGACAAGATCCACGATGTGATCCATACACTAGTTTATTTCCAATTCTGATACTGAAGGTCGAGTGTCCTACAGAGTTTATTTGCAATTCTGATACTGTAGATCCAACCCTGGAGATTCAATACCCTACAGGGTTTATTTTCAGTCTGACACTGGAAATCCAATAACCTAGAGTTTCTTTCCAATTCTGATTCTGGAACTCCAGTAACCCACAAATTTTATTTTCAACCATGGAGATCCAACACCCCACAGAGTTTATTTCCAACACTAACACTGGGGAACCAATAAAATACTGCATTTATTTCCAACCCTAGAGATCCAATACCTTGCAGAGTTTGTAGGTGCAACACCTAACTCTACTGTTCTTCCAATTTAATTACGTCATTCTCTCACAGTGCAAGTGTAAGGTAACCTAGGTGGTACAGCCCTGATTTGCCAATTGTAATTGGTCAGTTAATGAGTCTTGTAGAGTGGTCATTAGCCTGTTCAAAATCGCTGCTGACACAGTGGTTGACTAGTTAATATTTTACACTGCTAGTTCATAAATAAAATAAGTGGTTTATTTTTAAGGAGGACAATGTCCATTGCGATGTTTCTTCTGTTTCTTTCTTTCTTTTATTTTCTGTTAGTATTTTTGTTTCTGCTTTACAGCAGCTACAGAGCAATGTCAGAGAAATGGTCCTGATTAGACGGAGCAAAAAGGCAGCTGAGGACACACAGATTGGAGTGACCTGGTCTGACTCCTGGTTTGAAAACATGTCCGGCGATAATACTGGGCATGTTAGATTAGGTTTGGAACTGAACCCAGGCTGAAGCGCTGACTCACCTTGACCTGGCCGTGCACACGAAAGTGGAAAGTTTCGTTCCACTCGGGTTTGTTGTTGTTAGGGATACACCTGGTACGGAGAGTACGGGCCGAAGCTGTGGGCAGGTGCAAGGTGACGTAGAGGTCAGACTCGGACACTGTGGGGCGAAAAGTAAGGCAGAAAATGGGTATTAAACTCTTGCAGACTGTTACAGGTTAATCATTATGCGGCATTACTAGCCTCAGTGTTATCAGCATATCATGTGATTTTCGCAAACTAAGAAGTGAAAGAGAGAGTTGATGTTGTTCTCCAATTTAGACTCACGCATCTGTAATGGTCCGGGGCGCATTTCAACAGAACTGGTGACTCATTCAAGAGTGGCAACCTTCATTAACATTCAATTATTCAAGCTAAAACTAACAAAGAAACAGTCCTAATTACTGCACCTTTGAACACAATATGCTCAAGCACCATGGCCTAAACATGTTATGAAGCACTATTTACTTTGTTTACTTTATTGATTTTTGCAAAATCCTCACATATTAGCTTCATGACTGGGAAGTTTATTTTAGGCATCTTAAAGGAACGGCCTTCAGGAATGACCATTTCTGTAGTATAAGGTTTAGGCTATAGTATAACGTACTATATAAAGTATTCACTTCCATTGAACTTTTATGTATTTAACTGAGAATTCAGAGTTTATACAGAGTTTATTCCAAATCTGATACTGAAGATCCAATACCCTACAGAGTTTATTTCCAAATCTGATGCTAAAAGATCCAATAACCTACAGAGTTTATTTCCAAATCAGATACTTAAGATCCAATACCCCACAGAGTTAATTTCTAATTCTGATACTGAAGATCCAATAACCTACAGAGTTTATTTCCAATTCTGATACTGTAGATCTAATACCCTACAGAGTTTATTTCTAATTCTGATACTGAAGATCCAATAACCTACAGAGTTTATTTCCAAATCTGATACTTAAGATCCAATACCCCACAGAGTTTAGTTCTAATTAACTGAATATGAAGATCCAAATAAACTACAGAGTTTATTATCCAAATCTGATACTTATAGATCCAATACCCCACAGAGTTTAGTTCTAATTCTGATACTGAAGATCCAATAACCTACAGAGTTTATTTCCAAATCTGATACTTAAGATCCAATACCCCACAGAGTTTAGTTCTAATTCTGATACTGAAGATCCAATAACCTACAGAGTTTATTTCCAAATCTGATACTAAAAGATCCAATACCCTACAGAGTTTATTTCCAAATCAGATACTTAAGATCCAATACCCTACAAAGTTTATTTCCAAATCTGATGCTAAAAGATCCAATACCCTACAGAGTTTATTTCCAAATCTGATACTTAAGATCCAATACCCCACAGAGTTTATTTCTAATTCTGATACTGAAGATCCAATAACCTACAGAGTTTATTTCCAATTCTGGTACTGTAGATCCAATACCCTACAGAGTTTATTTCCAAATCTGATGCTAAAAGATCCAAAAACCTACAGAGTTTATTTCCAAATCAGATACTTAAGATCCAATACCCTACAGAGTTTATTTCTAATTCTGATACTGAAGATCCAATACCCTACAGAGTTTATTTCTAATTCTGATACTGAAGATCCAATAACCTACAGTTTATTTCCAAATCAGATACTTAAGATCCAATACCCTACAAAGTTTATTTCCAAATCTGATGCTAAAGATCCAATAACATACAGAGTTTATTTCCAAATCGGAAGCTAATTCCAAATCTGATACTAAAGATCCAATAACCTACAGAGTTTATTTCCAAACCTGATGCTATTTTCAAATCTGATACTAAAGATCCAATAACCTAGAGTTTTTTTCCAATTCTGATACTAAAGATCCAATAACATACAGGTTATTTCCAAACCTGATGCTATTTCAAATCTGATACTAAAGATCCAATAACCTAGAGTTTATTTCCAATTCTGATACTAAAGATCCAATAACATACAGGTTATTTCCAAACCTGATGCTATTTTCAAATCTGATACTAAAGATCCAATAACATACAGAGTTTACTTCCAATTCTGATACTAAAGATCCAATACCCCACAGAGTCTATTTTCAACCATGAAGACCCAATAATATCCTGAGTTTATTATTATGTTTTGATACTGAAAATCTAATAAACTGCAGAATTTATTCCCAGTTCTGATACTGGAGATCCAATACCTGAGTTTATTTCCAATTCTTCTTTCGGAAATCCACTAACCTACAGAGTTTATTTCCAACTATATTGTAGTATATAACTTGCCAAACGGTATTTTAGATGTTTTATTATAGCTTAATTGTCCATTCTATACAGTTTTCTCACATCTAACTTTTCTTTCATTTTCAGCTTCCTACTGATTATCTGAACGCTGTGTACTGCTGTCATTTTATACTTTTATTTGCAAGCAGGTTGGTTTTACATGATTGAAAACATGCAAGAGAGAAATGCACTTTGTGTTGATTGGTGCTAAAAACTCTCAGTTAAGTACGTCATGGTTCTGTGCTGTAATGTAATAAAATGTGGAAGGGGTGAAGACTTAATATAAATACTGAAATAAAAAAAAAACAGTCTAGAATCCATAGAAGCCAGACGTCTTTGTGTGTCTGGTGTGTGTGCGTGAAGGACGTACAGTAGTCATGTGAATGACGGAACTTTCCCCGAACTACTTTGACTGAAAGGTTCCAGTGCGGCACCACTTCCTTCTGAAACAAACAAGAAACAGGAAAGACAGATTTACAAGAAGAACAATGGCTTTAAAAATCAAAATGCCACACAAACCAGTGAGCTTTTTACTGGGTGGTTTATGTTGGAAACAGTCTATAGTTTCCATCGGCGTTCTGCACAACTGCCAACAAAAAAATGAAAATGCATAAAAAATGTTTGCAAGTTTTGCTGTCCAGGATTTCCATCCAATTAACTTAATTTAGCTTGTTTACATAATTTCCTGCAAAAAAACTACTGTACTGCATAAGTTTTGGTTTATTGATAAAAAGTTACCTTTGTCTTCCCTGATCACCCCATAACCTACATATAAGGCCACTATATTTCAATTAATATTTTCCTTTATTTTTATTACGTTTTCCATCTGAACCGTTATGTGAGATATAATATAGAGCTGTTAGCACTGATTCCATTTAAAAAGGCTGTAGTTTCTCTGCTCATCTGCCTGAGGTTGTATGTGTTTGAGGGAAATCAGCCCCAAGACACTGAATCAGGGCTGGGCAATATAACGATAACGTTATCATGATAAATTACACCACAATAAGTCACAGTATGGTTTTCTGAGCATTTTGTGGATATTGTCAGTACTAAGCATCTAAACAACAGCATGTTTCATTACAATTGGATTCAGTGCAGTATGTGAAACACTGTATGAAAATCATTGTAGTTGTAGTTTTTGATAGAATTTTTAAAATGTGACTCCGCTGGTTCTTTTTTGTCCATTTTGACATAGCAGATGTCAGAAAAATAAGTATTGTGACATACTGTGTATGATGAAAAGTTCTTGAAATATTGTGATATTGTATTTTTTTCCATATCGCCCACCACTACAATAAATTTATGCATTTATGTTATTTTCCTGGAAGTTTTTTTTCCAAAGTAGGTTTTTGTGACATTTCGTAACAGTTAAACCTGAAGAGAAAAAGTTTGGCTTTTAGTTTGAAAGAAATCAGAGTGAGGGTTTACATGCACTGAAAAAGTTAAGTACTGAGCTCAAATCCAGCTCTCTTTTCTTAACTTTTAGACATTTTCCTCACTACCCGAGGCCTGAGGAGGCTAATCAGTATTCACATAGCCCTCCATCTCACTCGGCTCCTTACAAACTTTCAAGCACCTGTTTCCAGATAGCGTAATCTGAATAGTTGCATTTATGTTTGTGACAATCTTGATGTTGCACAGAAAAATAGCTGTAAATATGACAGGAAAATAGGAGGCAATTTGAATTGAATATAAAAGATTATTTGCAGGGTTTTCGTCGTTATCAGAGATGACAGGCTTTTTATAAAACCACAGAGTTGAGCAAGTTTTCCAGTCTAGACAGGAAGATGAAACGCAAAACCACAATGTACGGTTTTAACGGTTTTGAAGTGTTGCAATGCACATCACACATGAGAACATGGCGGTCAGCAAGGGTCAGTTTTCCAAAGGGGTTGCTTTCTGTTTCAAAATGAACTACAGAAATATTATGTCTAATTGAAATGAATTGGAATAGAGATAACAGCAATATTATCACATCAGTACATTTCTGTTCTATCTATCTGTCTATACACAAATATATACTGAGATAAGCAAGTATACATACACACACACACATATATATATATATATATATATATATATATATATATTTATATATATATATATATATATACACACATACATACATGTATATGAATAAGGGTCATTCTACAGAAACGTCCACTTTTCTATCTATCCATAGGTGTCACTGGTGTTACCAGTCCTCATTGGTGTTACACATAAGAAAGGTAACACCAGAGACATTTTTGATTAAAAATGCATTTTCATTATTTATTTTATAATATTTATTTGGCATTTGTTTTATGTCATTTAATTTATATATTCCATAGTCATCTATAGATTGTTGTAGTTAAAATAGCAGAAAACTGTGTTTTTTTTTTTTTGTTTCAAAATATGGCCTCAACCTTTAGACATGACTGTGGAGACAAGCACTTCTGTGGTGCTTGGAACTCTAAATAATTGACTTAAAAACCAATATAGCTAAATTCATGGCTGAAGAAGGTGTAATTGGTCAAATAACTTATTGTTTTATTTAAAAAAATATGAATACATTATAACCCCATCATGTTTTTAAGCGTAATATATCTGTAAACGCTAGGGACACAAAGATGGACGTTTCTGTAGAATGACCCATAACTTTCAGTGAGGGAGCTCTTAGAGGTGGACGTCTGGTTCCTATCACCACCACTGTGAACTATTCTCTAGAAGGGATTGACTGATGCAGATTTTTTTAATAGTTCAGTGGAGTTCCCCTTTAACCTCTCAGCTGTCAATCAAAATGAATCTTCCAGTCGCTCAGCTGCAGTTCTTCCCGCGAAACCCAAGCCACGCCCCCTTGCGTTTACAGAACGTGCGAGAAAAGCGTCGCGTGTCCGTGTTTAGCTGAAGTGAGGAGTGAAGGTCGCTGGGTCGCCGCTGACCAGCAGGTGAGACAATATATTTGGAAGAAAACACGTCTGGTATAAGAAATTGGTTCAGTAGTTTAGAACGCCCCTCAGAAACAAACAACAAATACCCGGAGTTATGAGCGAAGACACACATTTGCGTTATTGTAGATTTTAACAGTTTGAAAAGACTCTAATTAAGAGGATAGTGAGTTGCTAACGTGCACACTGTGGGAAACAAATATATATATATATATTTCTAACGAGGTAAATCTTGGCTTCTTATCTGAATTTGCCGTTCCACCTTAAATGGTGCAGCGGTCACGTTCTGGCGCCTCACGCCCATTTCACACCAGACGGGACGGGGCGCGCGCCCGGAACCTCTCTGCGACGCTTGTTATTTCACACCGGACGCGACACATGCGCGTCTCGAAGCGAGAGCGGCTGCTGTTTGTGTTGCGTTTTCACGTAATATAAACGCGTGTATATTATTTATTACTCATAAACTTTATGTAGATGATATAAAGAGATTAACAATGAAATCCCGACTCGCTGCCGTGACTGTTACTGGCTTTCTCACCAGGTATGAAGAGGAGGAGACGCCTGTGTTCACAGCATTGACCCGCTCAGGGATTCCAGCCAGCCTGTCAGAGTCAAGACTAGATTTGTTGATTTGTTTATTAGCCTATATTGTATATTATTACTGTTTCTGCATAGAAACTGCTGACATGCCGCGCGCGACACGCATCAGGCGCTAGAACGTGACTGCTGCACCATTTAAGGTGGAACGGCAAATTCTAATAAGAAACCAACTTTTTCCTCTTTTTTTCCTCATCCAGCAGCGCTGACCTGTTGCCCGGGCTGAGCTGCATGTTTCAGGTGCATTTTGCAGAACTGCAGTGCTATCAACAGTCTCTAAAACTAACTAGAAACACTTAAACTAGAAAGTACAGTACCTTCATGATTAACTGAGTCCAGATCCTTGTTTCTCTGAGGAGCCTGAGCTGCCCCGACGTGCCGCTGTGCTGATACAGCAGACTGAGTGTAAACCTGAAAAACTTGCCTGCTGAGCTTATATAGGCCCGTTCATGTTCTCGCTTTCCTGAGAGATGGAGGTTTGTAAATGCTGATAAGGCACTGAGGGCTGAAGGAGGGAGTGTGAAGTCTGATAAGACTGACAGACTAATACATCAGACATCAGGAGCTCATTTCTCATGAGCTTCAGCCAAAATGACCAAATGTCACAGACTGGTGATCAGTATAATGTAAAAATGTAAATGTACATCTAAAAGCTTCCTCTGGGAAATTGTCTACAGGAGTTTTTAGTCTTTAAGGGAGTGACTGAACGTGTTTTTAAATGTTTTTTTATCTATCTATCTATCTATCTATCTATCTATCTATCTATATATGTATGTATGTATGTATATATGTATGTATATACAATGAAAAATAATAACATAACTTTTATTATTTATTCATTTACGGTTACTTAATAATTTCTGTTAATCTGTCTGTTCATCATGAAATTTTGAAACATCATAAAGGGCAACTGACCTAGACTGGAAGATGAAACGCAGAACTACTATGTAGGGTTTTAACGGTTTTGAACGGTTGTAATGCACATCACACATCCTAACAGAGAACATGATGGTCAGCAAGGGTCAGTTTCCCAAAGGAGTAGCTTTTAATTAATAATAATTAAAATAATTAAAAATAATATTTCAATGAGAATTTAATTTTACACATGGCAAACATGAACACTGCACTGCTTTCTGAAACAGTATGATAGATTATAGGGGACTTAAATATTGAGGCTCACAATAATAAGTTACTGCTCTCACATTTTTCACAATCTAAGCGGTATAAAAACAGTAATCATCCTGTTTTTATAATGTACTCATAATCTGATTACTGTCTTTTTTACTGTAACTATAAAAGAATACTTTTTCTGTATCCTGATTATATAACGGCGTTACATGTATTCCAGTACCACCCCACCCTGTATATATACCTCTGCTTCCCGCATTGTTTCACTGATAAATTAAAATAAATAAAATTAACTAAATTCCTGTTCTCAAATTGACTAGCACTGTACAGATACTGCGCTTCAAGCATGCTACAACTTTCAGTTTCCAAGCCTGCTTTTTAGTCAAAGACACAGTATCATATCACAAATAAAGCAGTGAACATTTTATTAAACAGAAAGTCGTGATTGGTTTTGTTTGTCTCTTTACTTTCACGGTTAAAATCTCTTTAAAACAGAAGATATCTTTCTTTATTCTGCATGATTTTTGTTCATTCTTAGCTTCTTTTAGCCGAAACAGTGTCAAATAAAAACTAACACTCTGCACTTTTTAGACAGATTCTTAACCACATACGCACTGTTGATGAGTGATTTTAAACATTATCTGTAACAAAAAGAATAAAATATAAATATAATATCAACTTAAAATGTTTGGTTGTAGTTTGTTTTGTCTATTACTTCTTTCTACTGAGTGAGAAAATGAAAGTTACATTCATATAACAAAAAAATATTTCATTAACAAATATGTATTTTAATATTTTACAGTTACAGTCTAACTAATTTTAAGGCGCATAGTAAGAAATAGTAAGGCATAGGAACAAGATCCTAATGCATGGCCATGACTTAGAAAGGCGTGGGAATGAGATAATTAAGGCTTGACCACAGCTTAGTAAGGCATGATCTCGTTCCCACACCTTAATGAGTTGTGGCCATGATTTACTTATCTCATTCCCATGCCTTACTAAGTCGTAGGCCATGCATTAGTATCTGATTTCCATGCGTTAATATGGCGTGGCCATGCATTATCTTTATTTATACTGGATGTCACCAGCAAGGCTCTGCATTTGTTCCCTTTTTGGGTGAAGACATCTTTCCGGTCGGCCAAATCATCTTTCTCAGCTTTGGCCGGCCCCACTTTTGGCAGCACTGATTGAGGCCATTTAAAATGTGAAATAAATGAAAAATTTTATGATATAGGTGGGTGATATGACAAAAAATTTATATTGTGATACTTGAAGAAATGTGCACGATACACAATATGTCATGATATTTATTTCTTCAGACTTCTGATCAGTTGGAACAGAGAAAAAAGAACCTACATTAAAAAAATACTATCAAAAACTGCTAACACAATGATTTTATTCAATATTTGGCACTAAATCCAGTTAAAAGGGAGTAATTTTGCTCTCTTTATAATGAATCATGCAGTCGGTCAATGTCCACAAGTACTGCCGATATGCAAGATATGTTCAAAAAAGCATATTGTATTTTGACATATGATACATATTGTTACATTGCTCAGCCCTAATTTATGATACAATCAGTTTTAAAATATATTTTATGGGTTTTTATGGGACAAGAGCATCACTTAATATGAGGCCTTCCTGCATAAGTAGCAGTCAAATGGATGGTTTTGGTTATAATGTGGCCTGCAGTAACTCCAGCGCAGTGACATTGGGATTCCACCCATCTGTGAGGTCATGGTGGACCCCCTGTCGGCTTTGGTGATTCCTCTCACTGTCTGTTTCCTGCCAGCTTTCGATTGGACTGGAGGACTTATTGATCTGTTGTCTGTCCCACTAGCAGTTTGTGTTACACACCGATATAAGAAATATCCCGAAACAGAGCCACTGTCGGTAATAATGTGCTCTTTTCTGTGTTTTGTCAGCATTTTAGAGGTCAGCAGATTCCGAGGACAGCACAGCATTGAACATGAGGCCACTACCAGAGGTCATTAACGTCAAAAATGAAGCAGACAGACCAGCTGGATTGATCTCACACTCAAAATCATTACCACAGGCTGGATCTCCTCTTTCAAAGGTAGGGCGCAGTGCTAATGTAGGCTAATAATGTCAATGTAAGTGACTGTATGAGACAGATTGAGAGAATAAGAAAATAAGAGAGTAAAAAAATCACTACAAAATAAGTTTCTGTGTTAGTGTCCATTATTACTGTTGTGGTAGAGGCCAGAAATGAACTATGCCTTTAGGAACTGCAGAAACTTGCTATGTTAGCATGCAAGCTTCTCTCACTGAGGAATTTCTAGCCTACTGCCAACATAAACAAAGCAACACGCAACAGTATTGGAGCCTGTTTTGTGTTCACACTGGCATTTTAAAGGGTTACAGACGGTCAGAGACTGTCAAAGCAGTGCAGGCTGGGCTAAACAGCTTACTAGCAAACTGACCGTTTTCAAAACTCTGAGGAGGTCACGCCTGCCTTAGCTACTGCTGCTCAACTACTGTTGATCCAACTTTCAGCTCAGACTCCCTGTTAGCATCTGTAGCACTTGCGCTAACAGATGGAAAAGTTCAGTAGCTCACAGAGGAGAACATGAGAAAACATTATTCAGTATTCAGCTGGCTTTACAAGATGTTTAGTGAACTGACAAAATAGGAAAAAAAAGGATTCAGCAAACCATGTTTACATTAATCAAACCAGGAAAATTGTACATTAAAGGGACTGTCAACATTTTTCACAGAAGGAAATCTTATCTTTATTTATATCTTCTATTACAGGAGCTTATCGCAATAGGCCCTTTTCACAAGAAACAGAAGTGCGTAAACGCTGGTTAAAACAAGTTCCGCTATTGCCTTTCGGACAGTTACTAACTTCAGACATGCAGGCGTTCGTATCACCCCAGCTCACCAAAGAAAGGTGTCTCACTTTATCTTTGTCATAGTTGCCAAGACTGAAATTCGAGGTTGTGTCCAGAACTTTTGAAGAACCAAACACACAACAATGTGGGGGTCCAAACTAATAAAAAGGACTTTAAATAAATTCTCCATGGTGAAATTCCTTCACAGCTATCAGAGTAACGTCAGCTAACGTCTATAGAGTGATAAATCGATGGAGGTGAAAATAACTATAACCAAAACACTAGATTAGCTCTGCTGGAGATGTAGAAACAGCTCGCTAACAATAAACTAGTTGGTAAAAAGCTAAAGACACACACATGCCAGGCAGGGGGAGCACTGGGTCGTTGTGGTCCGTAGCGCCACTGCAGCTGTCTCAGATGCTGACAGCTTTCGAGGGAGAAAACGAAAACTGTTCCTCTGAAAGCGGCTGTAGCAGCAACTTTTAAGCATGAACTGCACGTTAACTTTAGTCAGCAGTAGACACAAATTCTTCTACTCTGTAAGACAAAGTTTATTCCTTTATTAACTGCACAAACTAATTTTTCCTCTGCTCATTGTCAGCTGACAAACCACTGAAACTGAGATAAGATTGTTTTTTTCTTCAAGCAAACGATAGAAACGGAGGCTTAAACAGAAGTTAGGACGCTGTTGGGGTTTATCCTAAAGTTAAGACAGTATTTAGATTTATGTTTGTGTAACACTGTTTTCTGATCTGAAGTTAATGTCCTAAATTCAGTCCGTACTCAATTTGTCATGGAGACTGAATAGAGTGGGTTTTCAGAAGTATGATGTTTGATGTTTGCATGGACAGAGACCTAAAAACTCAAAGCTGAAGGCCAAATTACTGATTCAAAAACATATTTGAAATCACTGATAAAATCTAACGTAGCGTTTGGTTCAATAAAGCACAAAAACATGTTTTTTATTGTTCTGCGTTTGCACAGACCTCTGCAGCTGAGGGGGGATGTTTCCTGCTCGTGGCTTTACCAGCAAGCCGATTGGCTCTTTTTGTTGAAAGGCTGGACTGATGTGTTGGGTTCACTTTGTAATTTGTATCAATTCCATCCATTTTGTGTATTACCTGCGTCTATGTAAAGTGAGGTTTAGAGATGACACAGCTAATGGCAAGAGAAGCAAAGTAGCAACAGATAGCAGCCCATTAAATAATGAAAGCAAACGATATTAGCAATAGCAACATTAGCAACAGCAACCCGTCAGTGGAGAAACGGAGCCAACCGCACGCTTTGCCTACAGCTTTACATGTAAAACATGTTAAATTGTGAGGCTCACAGTGTGACATTTTCCTTAATCTGGAAAACGAGATGGTAGCAAAAGATAAACAAGCCCACAATATTTTCATAGCAAATGAAGAAACTGAGCTCAGTCTAAAAAGCCACATGTTTTACATACAGCTCCACTTACACTTTCTTATATGGAGTATTCTGCTGAATTACTTCAAACTGCGCTTAATATACATTAAACATATACATAAAAAATAATACAATTTTAGACCTTAGATATTGATGTTAAGATCTATCTAAACTGAGGCATTAATAGAGATGGTCATAAGCGAAATATGTACAAAGTCATCATTTATAGGGTACTTTCTTTTGGGAGGTGTCTGTCCCAAACACTAACACCTAAATTTACACTTTTACATTTTTTTCCAATGTTGTTTTTTTTAAATATCTTTTTTTATTATTTCTTATAAAGTGAAATTATAAGTTTTAGATTTATCATGAGTTTAATTTTTAAATAAAAATAACTTTATTCAAAAACTAGTAACACAAAGCATTTTAGTCCATAGGCGGAGCCTTATTTTAGCCATTTGATTAAGTTTTGGTAGTTCAGAATTTAATGTTCAGTCTTTTGTTTTAATAAAATAAACATAGATAAAGTATAGGGTCGCTCAAAGGGATTTTAGTCTGAAGTCCAATCATTTAAAATGATCAGATGTGTTTTCAACTCTGATTTTGAACCAGTTCAGTAGAATCATTCATCTACCAGCCTCAAGGGTTCATTATTTTTTTTTTTTCTTAAAGAAAGATTTAATTTAATTTGAGTGTTGAATTTGAATATATTTGAGTATTTATTATTATTATTTTTTTATCGTTAGCAAAATTGGGCAAAATTTTAATTTGTGTGACTGGCTATTACAAAGAGGGCCACATATTTTGCATACAGGCCCGGTTGCTTGTTTAAGTTCAGTTCTAGTGTAGCAGCAGTACCTTGTGTACCTTGTGTTGTCTAAACTGCACTAATGCTAAAGAGTGAGTTCAGTGCTGCATCTCAGCTCACTTCATTTATTATTAACCAGAGTAGAAGAGCCTGGTGTTCTACCTGGAGATGATCTACAAATCAGTAGACTTAATGTCCTTCCAGTCAATTACTTCACACCTTTTAAGTGGTTTTCTGACGGTCATTAGTTAATTTAATTAGTTAAATGAGCGACCTGTGATGTTGTTTGTCAAACTGGAAAAAGACTGCAAATACACCGCTAAATCTAGTATTGTGTCTCTGTTTAATCTTCCTCGTAAAACTTCCTGCTTCTGTCTTAAGGCACTATCTGGTGCAGCCTAAATGAGAACAGGTTGCCCTTTTGAGTGTTGTTTATTCTCAGTGGTTCTTCACATGGTCTTAGTTTCTCCTTTTGAGTCATGGTTCCTTATAGTGATTCTTCTTCAAGCTCTTGGGGAATTTCTCCTTTGGGTCTTGGTTCCTCTCACTGGTTCTTCTTCGTCTCTGTGTCTTGGTTCCTCTCAGTGGTCCTTCTTTACGCTCTCAGTGAGGTTCTCCTATTGAGTCTTGGTTCCTCTCACTGGTTCTTCTTCATGCTCTTGGGGAACTTCTCCTTTTGGATCTTGGTTCCTCTCAGTGGTTCTTCATGCTCTTAGTGAGTTTCTCCTTTTGCATCTTGGTTCTTCTCAGTGGTTCTTCCACATGATCTTATTTACCTCTTTTGAATCTTGGTTCTTCTCTGCGGTTCTTCCTCATGCTCTGAGGAAGCTTCTGCTGGAAGTGCTATACAAATACAACGAGTGCTGGGCAATCAACCAGTATTGCTGTCACACAACACAAGGTTTTAGTGATATTTCTAGACAACAAGGATTATATTATACCATTCTGTTCTATAAAACAGTGATGTAAAGTCCTCTTTTTGTGTAGAACCAAACAGGCCAGTCAGAACATGCTATGTTGGTTTGTAAGACATTATTTTAGCACAGAGTAGCAGCACTCAGAAGGATTGGGGTTTTAATAATTGGATTACTGCTAACTTATTAACATTAATGCTAAATTGTATATAATCTGATACCACAACACTGCAGTGTGATTGGATAATACTGTTAATATCATTATATCCATATAATCCCAACTGCACATTTAAACATATCCATCTATAAAACCTTCCTCCACATCCACGTTCTGATGTTCTCGTGCAAACGCTCTTCTTTTTATGTCTGTCTCCTTTTCTCAGTGAGGTTCTTCTTGACAGCTACATATCCTTTCAGACCCATAGCGCTGAGTCGTCTTCTCACAGTGGAAAGATGGACAGAAACACCTGTGGATGTTTTTTTTAAGATCTGAAGCAGCTTGATTTTCTCCTCTCTCTCAAAGATGAAAGCTTTAGTGCTGTTTATCTGATGGGGGCAGTTTTGACATCTACCAGGTCTTCTAGGTGGTTGTTAGGAGTCCCATTTTCTCTAGCTTTTAAACAATTTTCAAACAATCCAATCAAACAAACTTTGGCCCACAGCTAGGGCTGGGTGATAAAACGATAACGATAATTATCGCGATATAACATTCCTCGATAGAACTATAAGAAATGTTTGATAAATTGTTGATATAAAAGACCACTCTCACACCTGCACGTTCTAGCGAAAGCCCTGGTGGCGTTTTCTACTGCAAGGAAAGCAACACTACTCTGCTGTCGCCAGGAGAGGGCGCACTTCCGAGTTTTTCGACAAAATTAGAGAGGGAGGGGGCGACGAGTGAAATTAGTCGCCAAATATACTTTAGCAACGTCTGAAACGTGGAGTTATACAGTCCCTGTCTGAGTGGAGCGATCAGCGATCTGATCTCCTGTGACCAAGTGTGAGTGACGAGATAAGTGGCGTAACTGTACTGGCCCAGAGCGAACTCCCCTCTTTCCCAACATCCTAACAAGCTTTAGCCGCGTTAAAT